TTTTAAACTGCATGACGATATCTACAAGGCTGCAAAGTTTCAACTAAATCGGTGACCCGAAGGGCTTGCACTCTCTTTGTAAGAAAAAAAGAAAAAAAAAAGGAAAAACAAATAATACAGAAGTAGATTTTTACATTTTTATTTAAAATGTATATATAAATTTGTAAGCCATTCAGACATTACATACAGTTTATTATTTTTTGATATAAAATATGTTAAGTATATAAATGTCTGAACAGAAATAAAATAACAGATGACAATGTTTTTCATGACAAGATATAAACACTGCGCACTACTATTCAGTGTCAAATGCATAACATAAATGTAGTTATTACAATAAATGAATTGTAATGGAACTTTTTTAGGTTTGCAAAATATGTTAATAAGTTGCAAATGAAATTCATTCACTATGTACATTTGTTGATACCAAATATAGTATCAATATACATTTTCATTACTTGCAAAATTTATAATACTTACTGTGAAATTTATTATTTAACTATTAATAAAAGATAATGTAGTATTACTGAATTTTATAATATAATCTTAATGATCACTAAATATAACTAACTTGAATTGCCATTTATACAAGTTTACAGAACATACAAAATATTTTTTTAATTTAATAATACAGTGCATAATATATATTGGAAAAAATGGATATTCTTTTTACAGTTTGGACATTGCAAAATATGTATACATTTTTTGAAAATTATTCTTGAATAAGAGACTTATGTTTTTCTATAAAGTACAGAAACATTTTCCTTGCACTTGTAAAAAATTATGATACTTTTAAGAGTACATATTTTAAAAATTATTTCAACTTAAAGATGGTGCTTCTTGATCTTGATCTTTATCTTTCTTCTTCTTCTTTTTCTTTTTTTCTTCTTTCGTTGGTGCTTCCTATTAATGACAACAATAAAATACTTGATCTTTTTTACATATTAAAAGCAGAAATTAAATATGAGTTATTTTACCTCCGTTGCACCTTCTACTATCATAGATTCATCAGCTTCAGATTCTGTTTTCTCCTTCTTCTTTTTCTTCTTTTTTTCCTTTTTATCTTTCTTTTTTTCTTTTGGTGATGCTAATTCTGGATCTTCAATTTTTTCTTCTTTTACTGTAACCTCTGTTGTAGATTGTGTAACTATCTCTTCCCATTTTCGTTTTTTAGCCACAGCATCAATAACACCATTTTCCTCAGTCTAACCCATAAATAAATATTAAATAAATTAATTGTATAATTAAAACTATTTACATATTATATGATATTTACATTAAAAAGTGTAAAAAGAAAACAATTACCTTAATTCCAGATGTAGAATAATCTGTATAATTTGCTAACCAGTCAGCAGGTGTGTTTTCATTTGGTTTCCCATATTTATCTAACTTGCCTTCAATTATCATACGCTTCTTTATGGAAGCTTTTGGTCCCAGACCCCATTTTCTTGGATATGCATCTCTTTCCATGATTACTCTTTTAATTTTTAACTAAATCGGTGACCCGAAGGGCTTGCACTCTCTTTGTAAGAAAAAAAGAAAAAAAAAAGGAAAAACAAATAATACAGAAGTAGATTTTTACATTTTTATTTAAAATGTATATATAAATTTGTAAGCCATTCAGACATTACATACAGTTTATTATTTTTTGATATAAAATATGTTAAGTATATAAATGTCTGAACAGAAATAAAATAACAGATGACAATGTTTTTCATGACAAGATATAAACACTGCGCACTACTATTCAGTGTCAAATGCATAACATAAATGTAGTTATTACAATAAATGAATTGTAATGGAACTTTTTTAAGTTTGCAAAATATGTTAATAAGTTGCAAATGAAATTCATTCACTATGTACATTTGTTGATACCAAATATAGTATCAATATACATTTTCATTACTTGCAAAATTTATAATACTTACTGTGAAATTTATTATTTAACTATTAATAAAAGATAATGTAGTATTACTGAATTTTATAATATAATCTTAATGATCACTAAATATAACTAACTTGAATTGCCATTTATACAAGTTTACAGAACATACAAAATATTTTTTTAATTTAATAATACAGTGCATAATATATATTGGAAAAAATGGATATTCTTTTTACAGTTTGGACATTGCAAAATATGTATACATTTTTTGAAAATTATTCTTGAATAAGAGACTTATGTTTTTCTATAAAGTACAGAAACATTTTCCTTGCACTTGTAAAAAATTATGATACTTTTAAGAGTACATATTTTAAAAATTATTTCAACTTAAAGATGGTGCTTCTTGATCTTGATCTTTATCTTTCTTCTTCTTCTTTTTCTTTTTTTCTTCTTTCGTTGGTGCTTCCTATTAATGACAACAATAAAATACTTGATCTTTTTTACATATTAAAAGCAGAAATTAAATATGAGTTATTTTACCTCCGTTGCACCTTCTACTATCATAGATTCATCAGCTTCAGATTCTGTTTTCTCCTTCTTCTTTTTCTTCTTTTTTTCCTTTTTATCTTTCTTTTTTTCTTTTGGTGATGCTAATTCTGGATCTTCAATTTTTTCTTCTTTTACTGTAACCTCTGTTGTAGATTGTGTAACTATCTCTTCCCATTTTCGTTTTTTAGCCACAGCATCAATAACACCATTTTCCTCAGTCTAACCCATAAATAAATATTAAATAAATTAATTGTATAATTAAAACTATTTACATATTATATGATATTTACATTAAAAAGTGTAAAAAGAAAACAATTACCTTAATTCCAGATGTAGAATAATCTGTATAATTTGCTAACCAGTCAGCAGGTGTGTTTTCATTTGGTTTCCCATATTTATCTAACTTGCCTTCAATTATCATACGCTTCTTTATGGAAGCTTTTGGTCCCAGACCCCATTTTCTTGGATATGCATCTCTTTCCATGATTACTCTTTTAATTTTAGCAGCTACACCATGATCGCAAGCTGTCATTGTTGGAGATGTCATTAATGCTATAGCTATAATAAAAAAGAATTATAAATATATTAGTTTTAGAATATTTATTTATAAGTTAAAAAGTTAAGTAATCAATAATTCAATTACATTGTTGAATATAACATATCAATATTTTGAATTAGTATTATTATAAGTAATTTATAGCATTTCTATATTAATTTGATAAATTACTTACCAAGTGCTATAGCTTCACCTTTTGTGGTCACTATTACAATTTCCTGATTTAGTTCTATACCATCATCATACATTAAAATACCTGGTAGCATAATTTTAGCTCCATAACAAATAGCATTTACCTATTAATATTATTATGTAATATTATTAAAAAGTATCTTCATATAAAAAAAAATTATCTTTCATATAGATAATGAATACATACTGCACTATCCTTTACAATAATTCTCTTATGATTTACTAGAAGAGCTTCTAATGGTTTAATTACTCTTCTTAAATAAGATTCATCTGCATGGTTTTCATATAACCATTGAGCATCAAGTATATCATGCATAGTAACCATTCCATCTTTTTCAGATTGAACACCTGAACGATTTCTACGTAATTCTTGCATTTGACAACCAGTGCCTAAGAAGAGGCCAAGATGAACACAAATAGTTCTAATATATGAACCAGCTTCACAACTAACTCTGAACACTCCCATATTACGCTCTGGATCATAATCAATGAACCAACTATCATAAACTGTTCTAACACGAAGCTGACGTTTCACTGCAGATATAAGTGGAGGCCGTTGAAAAAGTGCACCACGTAGTTTTTCTAATGCTTGACTTACCTATATTATTTTCTCATTAATAACAATTCCTTATACAGCATTTCAAATACTTAAAATTTGATACAATTATGTTTACCTTTTGAAGACTTTCGGGTGCAGAATGTAATTTAAAAACAGCAACATATTCTTTCCCAGCAGATTGTTGTGATTTAGCTAATCTAGTTGCTCTGTCAATACATACTATTAAACATCCAGATACTTTAGGATCTAAAGTACCAGAATGACCAGTTTTTTCTACTTTTAAAATTCTTTTTATCCATGCAACAACTTCATGTGAAGATGGGTTACACGGTTTGTCAAGATTAATACACCCAGATTTTATGTATTCCGATAAAGTACGATGTAATGGCGTTGAACCACTAGTTAAAGGAGTAAAATGTTTTGTTCGAGTAAGCAGTTTATCAAAATTCTGAAATAATATAATTCAAGTTAAACTCCAATTATGTTATAATGATGAAAACTACTTTTTAAATCATACAACAGATTAACTCTTATGTCAAGTTACCTTAAATAAAAGGGGCCAATCTTTGTATTCAAGTTTTACAGGTAAATCTGAAGGTTCAACTTGACATTTCATTGTTGCTTGAATTTCTCCAAGACACTTCTTTTTGTTTTTTTTCTTGCTTTTATCTAAATAAAAAAGATAAAAATTAACCTATGAAATTACATTCATTATACTTATCGATATCGTATTAAGCTATAATAATTACATAGATATGTAGCAAATTAATTTTAATATAAATTAAATATATGGAATATATATATCATATTATATTTAAAATAATATTTCCAATCAAACTTTTATTAAATATCAAAACACGTGCTAACCGTTAAATTTCTAAATGAAATTTATAACAGAAGGTAAATAACTTTACACATCTTTACGTACAAAATAACAATTTTAGTATAAATTAAAAAGTACAAAGCAATAAATACTACACTAAATAGTATAATATATAAATAAAATTAATTATAATTACCACTTTCTGCCATTTTCAAGCGAATAGAAACAACACGTGTATTTCGACGAAACACGGTGGTATTAAACACGCGGGAGCAACTGCGTTCAGCAATGTAATTTCATGGGTAATGTGTAATTTAGATGGGCTATATTAAATGATATTTACATAATCTAGAAAAAAATCTCAAAATCTGATAGAATAAAGTTTCGCAGAATAATTAAAATAAATTATATAAATAAATTCTATAAAAATAACATATGATTATAAAAATATAACAGAAATTTTAGTTAACTTAAGCGACTTCATATCGTCCATTTTTGGTATTTCCTATACATTAGTTGCATTTAAATTCTATTATATGTTCCTCACTTTTTTGAAAACTATCTTTTATATTTTAAATTGTATCTTATAGTTTTCTAAACCAATTCAAGAAGTTAAATAAAATTGATTGTTTATTTCAGGTGTTCTATGAACTATATTGTTGATATATTATCTACATTCTCTATTGTAAATAGCCATTGTTGAATTGTTTAGCTTCTACAGTAACCCGGGGGTGGATGAAACGGAGTGAAAAAAAGACAGTGAATACAAAAAATACTCCCATGCCGAAAATTAATGCATCATGTTTGTGGAAAACTTAGAAAGAGGATTTTATCGTTTAATAAGAGATGACGTAAGTTACATTTTCATACTTTCCATGTTTTTAAAATTCACTTATGTACCATAATTACATATGTAGGTTAAATAATTTTTATTAAATTATAAATGTATTTTTGAATTAGTATACAATTAATATAATTTATTTTTGCAATATTATTATTTCTTTTATTAATTTTCATTCATATGTGTTGAATAACATACAATAATAATTGTATGTTTATTAAATTATTTCATATTTACTTTTCCTTATTTAATATTAAAACTACCTTAAAATACTAATATAAATTTTTTATTATAGAGATGCCTACTCTTGGTTAATTTTGACATTGATGCCATTTGTGCTTGTAGAATTTTACAACAACTTTTTAAGAATGATAATATGATATATACACTTGTACCTGTTCAGGGTATTCAAGATATGATTCATGCATTTGAAGAAAATTGTGAAAAGGTAATAAAAGTTTAAAACACACACACACACACACACACACACACACACACA